CCCCACGGGAACCCTGCTCGCATTGGGGGTCGAAACCCCACAACACGCACGGGCAGGGAGCAAACCTCCCCCTTTCGGCGCCGTGCCACCGGGCGTTTGCAGTCGGGGTCGCCATCCCCTACCGGCACAATGGAGAACCGTTCCATACGGAAACGGCTCCCCCAGGAGCCCACTCCTCGGAGTGGGCTCCCTTGGGGTGCCGGACCCTGTGTACAGAGTCCTTCTATTTAACGGAGGACTCCGTACGGGGCGCGTTAAACCCCCAAGGCATCCCTTGGGGGAGTCCCCTCACCGCGGCAAGGCCTACCCACTAAAACCCCAGCGGGTGTCCTACCTCGGGAGCTAGTTGGTGCGGGGAGGGCTCAAGACAACAGTACTCACCTCCCCGCACCAACGCCATAAGTGCTTGCGCACTTTCTATTCTCTATATTTGCGAGAGGGGGGACACCACCTCCCCTCGTCGCTCATTCCTCTTCTTTATATCCAGCGAGGGGGGGAGTCACCCGCTCCTTACCCCCCACAAGGGTTGTTTATGTCTCGGTTTGAGTCGCATTTAGTCCTTGTAGTTATTCAGGCAGTTCCCTGCCCTCTGGGGGCGTTTTCACGAGCGCGTTCCGTGTCCTCCTTTGCTATCATAACTGATTCGCAAAATTTAAGGATCGACCCTCGCTTCTGTTTGTCCAGTAGGGACCTCAATATTGTCGGATAAGGCAGGTCATTTCCTATCTCCCGTATGAGGTCCTCCCTGTCCCTGTCCCACGCCGGACACTCCCGGATGGTATGGTATGCCGTGTCCAACTTTGACGGGCAGTGCCAGCATCTTGAGGATGCCTCCTTTTGTATGCGATGTAGGTACTGGCCATGACACCCGTGCCCCGTCAGGAGCTGGGTGCATCGGAAGGACAGGCTCACGCCGCTCTCAGCCCACTGTTGAAGGAGGGGCCGAAGGGCGATCCCCACTTCACCTCCAAACTGTCCAGGTCTTCTGGATCATGCTTCCCATTTACAGAACATTTTGTTCCTCGCTCGGGTCCTGATTGCACCCGCAGTGTTGTTAAGGACTACCCTCGCACCCCCTGAGTGCGTCTCCTTAAGAGTTTCGTATACCTCTGTGTACATTTCGGCTTTTAGCAGCATCGGTGGCGACCCTGCTAGCATTGTCGCTGTAGCGAAGCTAACAGTTCTATAGCCCTTTATAATTCTACAGGCTACAATTCGCTGGGCCTGCTGGAGCCTTCTTTGGATGGGCCTACTCGAGGCCACTCTATCAGTCCACGCAGGAGCCGCATAGAGGGCTATTGAGTCGACTATCGAAGCGTGTAGTCGTCTAACTCTGGCACTAGGGGATCGATTTTATATCTTGAAATGAAGTGAAAATTACAAAAGTGAGCGACTTTACTAGACTATTGATAATTTCATTGGTCAACGCCTAGTAAATTTGTTCACTTTTGTAATTTTCACCTTGTTTCAAGATACAGAATCAACCCTTAGGTCCTCCAATATTGGGCAGTGTTCTCATCAGAGCGGTCGTTGCTCGGACCAGCTTTCCCATAGCCCGAAAGTGTTGCTCATATTTCCAGTGGCTGTCTACCGTCACGCCCAGGTATTTAAGGGTGTCCTTAATTGGTATCTCCGTGCCGTCGATCATTACACAGGAGTTCGCAAGAGGACCCCGGCGTCTATCTCCCCTGAAGTGGATTGCTTCCGATTTGCCTGCAGATATCCTCAGTCCCAATCTTTTGATATGAGCTACCACATCCGCGACCGCCTCGTTGGCCTTGAGGATTGCCTCCTGCCAATCGTGTCCTCCTGCCAGGACAAACGTGTCGTCCGCATACGCCACGACCCTAGAGTCCTCTGGCAGATCAGCACTTTTCAGCACTTCGTTGAAGCCTAGTGTCCAAAGGCATGGACCGAGGACGGAGCCCTGCGGCACTCCACGCTCAACCAATCTGATGCAGGTATCGCCGTTTCCGTTTATATACGCCAGTTGTCTGTTGGACAGGTATGCATGTAGCACCCTCCTCAGATAGTATGGCAAATTTACCGCGCGCAGCGCCTTTCCGATACTGTTCCACGGGAGGGAGTTGAAGGCATTCGAGATGTCAATCGACACCCCGACCACCACTCCCCCCGTGGACTCGATGTATTCCTCTGCGAAATCCCTCACGCAGATTATAGCGTCAGTGGTATTACGCCCTTTACGGAAGCCGAATTGACTCGCATTTAAACTGGAGCCAGTACCCAGCCTATCCAAGAAGCAAGTTACTCTTCCCACGATCACTCTTTCGAATATCTTGGCTTCTTCATCCAACAAGCATATTGGTCGATAACCCGAAGGACTATCGGCCGGCTTGTTTTCCTTTCGGAGCAGGACCAGTTTTGCCCTTTTCCAAGCCTCCGGAAAGACTCCATCTTTCAGGCATCGAGTAAGAAGCCCCTTCATGCGCGCGTGCAAACCGGTCATTGCCTTTGCCCACGCTTGGGACGGCACACCACTGGGGCCCGGTACAGCATTTCTTTGCCTCATCCTTTTAACAGCCGTTTGTACTTCTTCTGAGGACACCTC